AGAGGTGCCTGGCATATTAAATATTCAGTTAAGGTCGGCCGGGCGGGGTGGTTCACGCCTGTAATGCCAGCACTTTGGGAGGCTGACGTGGGCAGATCGCCTGAGATCAGGAGTTCGGGCGGGGTGGCTCACGCCTGTAATGCCAGCACTTTGGGAGGCTGACGTGGGCAGATCGCCTGAGATCAGGAGTTCATGACCAGCCTGGCCAACATGGCGAAACCCCATCTCTACCAAAAATTTAAAAATTAGCCGGGTACAGTGGCGTGTGCCTGTAGTCCAGCTACTCGGGAGGCTGGGGCAGGAGAATCGCTTGAACCCAGGAGGCAGAGGTTGCAGTGAGCCGAGATCACGCCACTGCACTTCCAGCCTGGGTGACAGAATGAGACTCCATCTCAAAAAATAAAAATAAAATAAATAAATAAATAATTATTCAGTTAAGGTTAAGAGCCGGATACTTGTCCATTGCAGAGGGAAACCCTGAAGCCTGGGCAGGGAATGGGCTTGCCCAAGGTCACACACTGGGCCTAGAACCTGGGTCCTCCCTGCCACCCTGGACTCTTCATGGAGCGACATCTCTGCCTTGACTCTTTTCTTGCTTCCCGTGCTCTGAGACCAGTATAACCCGATGATCAATTTCTCCCAAGAAAGGAGAAACTGAGGCACAGAGAGAACTGGGGTCTTCAGATGTCCAATGATTCAACACAGCTAAGGCCGGGGCATTGACAACTTATGGGCCAAGGAGGTAATGATTTCTGCTTATTTGTCCACTAGAGGGGGTGGAGGCGGAGAGTCAGGCCTTTTCTAGTCCCAGGACAAGCTGGCTAACCCTCAAGGGGCTCTATGGCACACTACAGAAGTGTCCCCAAGTGCCTCAGGGAGCCAGAGACCACTGGGTTTCAGGTCTGCCCAGTTGTAGCCAAACTGACATCTGGAGGAAGCAAGGATATCGTGTGTGTGTGTGTGTGTGTATGTGTGTGTGTGTTTTGAATAGTGTCATTCTGTTGCCCAGGCTGGAGTGCACTGGTGCGATCTCGGCTCACTGCAACCTCTACCTCCCAGGTTCAAGTGATTCTCCTGCCTCAGCCTTCCGAGTAGCTGGGATTACAGGTGCCCACCACGACACCTAGCTAATTTTTGTATTTTTAGTAGAGATAGGGTTTCCCATGTTGGCCTGGCTGGTCTTGAACTCCTCACCTCAGGTGATCCGCCCACCTCAGCCTCCTGAAGTGCTGGGATTCAGGCATGAGCAACCACCCCCGGCCTTA